GCCATGATCGAAGCGATCGAGGCTCGAATGAAAAAGAGGCTCGGCCGGTACGGCGGGTGCGGCTATCCCGGGATCGCTGCGCGACGGATCGTCGTCCAACGCCATTTTCCCGAGATCGTTTTGATATGCGAGCGGTGACCAATGAGAATGGTTTGGTTTTCGGATGGATGCGAGGCTTGGTGGCCTTCAATTACATTTTTATTAAAAAAATAATCACCGTATGACTATATCTTTTTTTTGTTTTTAGCGATACTTAGGGCGTCTAAATTTAGTTGTCATCATCAAAACACGAACTAAAAAACAACTTGAGTGCCCTTTTAAGGTATTCATTTTAAGCGGCATTTGCGCAAAGTACGAAAATCGCTGCACGCCACTGACAACCTCAGCATCAACTTTTTTTTTTTTTTTTGCAAAATATTTAAACTGATTTTCGGGCAGCGCCCTAAACATATTCAGCACGGAAACAGCGTATTGCCCATAAATAAGATATATTTATAAAGCGGCCGACTCGAAACTTTCGCCAAAATGTATGACGTAGATGGCGAAATTGTGCTATCCTTGCTTTTTTGGAGCACTTTAACCAAGAAGTGACGTTTAACTTTCCCACTTTCGCTTTTTATTGATCACGGCAATTACAAGCGCTCGCGTCTGCCAACCGGGAAATCAGTACCTACTTTGCTGTGCGCTTGTAGCGGGACATTTCTTCGCGTATAGAAAATGCGTCAGTTTTTAGTTTGATTTTTTTTTTTTTAGTTTTTGGATACATTTTGATTCGTGGGTCACACACGCAGTTTAGAAAAGTAAAGCGCAAAAGTGACGCGTTGCAAACTTTGGTGAGCTACGCCAAGGATAAACCAAACATTTTGTCTCTACGAAACCGAAATAAACAACTCGTCGGAGCCTTTGCCAACTTTCCCGCCTCCCTCATCCTTCTTAATGTCCTAAGCACAGACACCGAGCGCCGTCAAGGTGAAAATAAAAAGAAACAAAACCCAGGAGACGATCGATGTATCGTACTAACACTTTCCGGCTCTGAACTCTTACATTTCGAAATCAACGGCATACTGTGCCCACGCTTGTCGTAAACAACATTTGTATTATCATTTTATACAGGCATACAACAAGTAACGTCTCGAAATTTGCGAAATATACCTTCGCCAACCACAGCAAAGAAAAAAGAAGAGGAGAAAATTCGATTCATCTCACGTCTCACGGGCTGCTCTGCATGCTCAATGTGTTTTTTCCTATGCAATTGTTTTGGGTTATATTGCGCGTTTTAGTTTTTTGGAGCGCTGGAGACAATAGAAAGTTTTAGTAGATCGTACGCCGCGGAAAGCAGGCCCAGTGGGCGGCTGCTTAATTCATACTTCGAAGTGATGGCACGAGCTGCCACTTGCAAAGCGTGGCTCTAAGTTTCTGAAATACTCTAAAACAGAAGTAGATATATTAGGGTCGTCAATGGCCCTTTAACGTTCATTGCGAATAGAGATTTCACAACGCAGCGATGCACTGTGAGTTATTATACACATCAGCAAGGGTGAATATCCAGTACTACTGGGTGTTTCAAGGAGCGGCCAGGCTCTTTAAATCGACCACAAGATTAGGTTTCTTAACCTATCGCGCTACAACTTTGTGTAGCGTTGCCCACAGGTGGTGCATTTTTTGTAAAATCTGCAAAGAGCGAACTTACCTGAGGAAAAAGTAAAGAAAGAAAAAGGCTTAGCTCTTATGGAAACGCAGCGAAGCCACCGGTCTTCAAACAATACGGCGCCGTTTTGCACAGGAGACGAGAGTGGGCGCAAGCTGTCGCGACGCCAACTGCCGTTAACGAGCGAGCATACGGCGCCGAGAGCCGGCGTCTTTAGCAGACGATCTTTTCGACTCAAAAGCGGCGCGCTATCCGCAGGGGGCGACAGTTGGAGAACCAAAAACAGGCGCGGTAACAACAAGGAACTGCAAAGCAGACGACATCAGTACCCCGAAAAAAAGAACAGTCAAAATATCCCGACAAACAATTGTTTTAATCAATTAGGTGTCCATTCAGTATGTTTTATTAGTAAGCATGATAAAATAATGCATTGGCAACTGATATCAGAAAAGCTCGCGCCGCTTTTGAGTCGAAAAGATCGTCTGTTAAAGACGCCGGCTCTCGGCGCCGTATGCTCGTTCGTTGGCTGCAGTTGGCGTCGCGACCGCTTGCGCCCTCTTTTGTCTCCCGTGCGAAACGGCGCCGTATTGTTTGAAGACAGGTGGCTTCGCTGCATTTCCATAGGAGCTAAGCCTTTTTCGTTCTTTACTTTTCTTCAGGTAAATTCACGCTGCAAATTTTACGAAAAACAAATCCACCATCTTTGGGCAACACTGCACAAGGTCGTAGCGCGATAGGTTAAGAAACCGAATTTAGCGGTCGATTCAAAGAGCCTGGCCGCTCCTTGAAACAGCCAGTAGAAACATGGGTCTGCGGGGCTAGTTTTCTCGCCCTTAGTCTCCTAACTAGGTGCAGTAACAAGCTCTGTAACAAGCACTACCGGAACTACCTACTTGTGCAGCTGCGTACAAACCCGACAAATCCCTTCAGCAGAAGGGCTAGGCGAGAAATCGCCTCCCTCACAGAGAGAACGACCGACCATCTGTGGAGACTCACTTTGTTGCATCTCCGTAAGAACAGACCAAGGGAAGAACAGGCGTTGAATAACCCCGCATGCACAATAGGAGACATCCGCATACCAAACTCAGTACAGCAAGTTCTCAGTCTGGGCCCTAAGTTTGCGATGGAACCTAAGAAGACGGCACCGGAGTTACTTTCCCTTGTGAGGGAAGTCTCGAGACGAGCTCCGGAGACCGAAATGGATCGCTGCACCTCTGAAGGTGTAGACATGCTTATGCGGCACAAACGACCATCTACTCCTCCGCCCATCAAGAGAGTAGAAACGTACCTGAAAGAGAATTCATTATATCTTCTGCCCGCTGACAAAGAAGGAGGTTTTGTCCTCATGCATACGGACACGTTTGGAGAAAAAGCATTAACAGCAGTCGAATACGTTTTCAGCAAGCACTCTGAGATCTCCCTGGAAAAAGTTAAAAGGGAAGCAAAACAATTTTGTCACTTCAACGATTTAAAACAACTCTGCTCCTACATCGATCGCAGTAAAAGTCTGAGTCTAGAATTATTTTTCAGCGCCAAAACTCACAAAGCGGATTGCCCCCTCCGGGTTATCGTTTCTGAAAGGGGAACATGGCAAAAGTCTGTTGCTTTATTTCTGCAAACATGGCTAAACCTACTTAACATTGATGATCCATACCTCATTCGCAGCTCCTCTGAAGTTTTAAACTTTTTAGAAGAGCATCGTGACCAAGACCTAAAGGTGTTCTCCATCGACATTAAGGATCTGTACTATTCCTTGCCCCACGACCGCCTCCTAAGGTACATAGAGGACAGCATAGACACCTTCGGTGCTATTGCCTTTCGAAATGCGTCGGGCTTATCCCAAAGCAAGTTTTTGACCTTGATTAACATCTACCTCAGGTCGACCTTTGCTACCTGGGATTGCCAACCATACCTACAAAAGAGAGGTGTCTGCATCGGGTCCTGCATTGCCCCTGCTCATAGCGATATCTATCTAGCGCACAACGACAGGAAGCTAAAATAATCATTAGACACCTCCAAAGTTATAAGAGTGTTCCGGTACGTCGACTATTATTTAATTGTTCTAGCTTCCAACGATCGCAACTTCACCAGCATGGTTGCTGACGTCCTCGACAGTTTTAAATTGTGCATGAGTCCTTTGGAACGCACCCATGAACTTCCAAACGAGCGCTCTTTAAGATTCCTGGATATCAGACTCTTCATGTTACCCTACCATTTACGCTGGTCGTATGAGCCCAGAGGAAAAAAACCGCTCTTACCATTCAACTCGGCCAATTCAAAACTTGTTAAAAAAAGCATCGTGCGGTTATGCCTCAAAAACTCGCTCATAAAACCCTGCTCGCATTCCATTCCAGCGAGCTTTGACGGGCAAGTCTCAAGACTAAAGCGCGCAGGATACCCAAACTCGTTATTAACATCAGTGGCCAAAAAGCTCATCAACGAAAGCAGGCAAGACCTATGCACACAACAAAAGCAAAGAGACAAAGCAAAGAAGCCCATCATTGTGCCATATATTCATACTTTTTCTCACAGCTGAAGGAAATAGCTAACCGAGTAAACTTGGAAGTCATCTTCTCAGCTCCTAACAACTTCACAGCTTATGCAAGAAGGTAAATACTCCACCAATAACAACAGTTGGCTGCAAAAAGAAGCACAAGAACACCTTTGTCCCTTGTACAGAGAAGGTGGTGTACTCCTTTCCCCTCTCTTGTGGAAAGCTGCACATAGGTCAGACCGGAAGGTGTCTGAACAATCGCCTTCGTGAGCATTACAACACATTCACCAACAAAAGCTCCGGTCATCTAGGCATTCACTGTCGAGACTGTGGGTGCTCAGTGCAGCTGAGTAACTGCGGTGTGCTTGGCAAGCACCGCAACCAGCTCACAAGAGAAATTATCGAGGCAGAGAACATTGCGAAACATAACGGCACATGTGTTAGTACTCCGTGTTTAACCTTGTCACAAAAAGAATTAGACTACGTAGCCTTAAATTAATTTCAATTTAGTTCGCTATTTAGCATCATATCAAAAGAAAAGAAAAAATACCAGTTATTCTCCCTGGCCCTTGCATATAGCACAAATAGAAGAAGATAAAGTGTAAATATAGAGAGAGTTGTCAGTCAGCGCTTTGTAAGTGTCTCTTTCTTTTGTGTGTATGTTGACTTGAATGACTGTTCTCCGGGTGCGCTGTTCCCCCTGTACATCATGAGCAACCAACTCGCCCGAACCTCTGTGTTAACTCAGTAACCACTCCCCAAACAAGCTTGTGATATCCGTGATTTATACCGATATATTTGATGTTGGACACCTATTCTAGGACACGTCAAGACAAGAGTACACTATATTTCTTGCAGGATGGCATGTTGGAACAGTGTCTTCTGAATTTCGAAACGATTCCTGATCAGAATGGCGATGGTTGGAGAGTGAATGTCACAGCAGAAGATGGGACACCTTGCAGCAACGAAAAGGTGTGCTTAAACTTCACTTCTTATGACAGCAGTAAAAATAAACACCCGACAAATTAGAAATCAACATGCACTTCATGACCTTCTATGAAGACATTTTTCTCATATATGTATTATTTCAGCCCCCGAAGGTCTGCATAGCTGGAGAATGCGTTGTTTGGACATAAGAACCATGACCTGCCGGGTGACTCAAATGGAAACACTTGAGGTGAAACGCCCCACGCAAAACACGATTTGTTTCCCAAGAAAATAAAACAATAAAAGTTATTTAACTATTTGAGGTGTCAAGGCATCATAATTGTGAGCACAATAAAGCCGTTAAAAAGAGCATTGTTTCAAACTTTGTCGTTAGTAATCAGCGAAGCTCTGATAATCATTTATTCACCAAGCTTAAATCGATACTTACTGGGTATTTATGCTCGCCGAGATTTTTTATTTAAACATGACCTATAATAGCCCAACTACAAAGAACACAATTTGCGGCTCGAAATTCGTTTTCTTTCCACCCGAAAACACCCGGTCGAAGGTTGACCGCTTTCCAGTCGCGCTCACTCTCTTTTCCGCGATAAAGTGGCGTTCAAAGAGCATCAATGATATTCAAAGTCGTGGGTCATCAAAGGCACACATTCACTATAAAAACAGAAAATAATATTAACCTCATTTCTGTAGCCTCCATAAACTGCACATACGTTAATAAAAGCAATGCTGCACAGATCAGGGCAAGTACATGGAGTACGTCATCCTTAGCATGGCGATGTACCGCGGGCTTGACGACGCGATGGCAGACCTAGACGGACCAATGTTGCGACGGGCGTGGGAACTGAAATTCGTGCATTCGGCTAATCGATCTTCCAGCGCCAAACTGTGTTGCTTTTATGTTTAGACAGCCTTGAAGTTGGTGTGCCTCAACGGGTGACCTGTCTCTCAGCCGTTGACGAACAATTTAGCCAGAGCAGTACAACCGCTAACCTGGGGTTTTTAACGTGCACAATGTAGTAGAGATTACACGAACGCGTTCCGGTACGCAGCTCATTCAGATCGAACGGGCAGGGGGCGTGTCTTCAAGCACAGAACATTGAGCTCGAAGGCCTACTAGAACATCGAGCGGAAGAGATATAAGGGCGAAACAAACGTACGACAAACGGTGCACGCAACTTTGTCGTCGTCATCACCTGCTTCGCACACCGTAGAAGCGTAGAAAAAACAAAAGAAGAAAAAGATACGCGGTCGGGTGTAGCTACGTCACTTCCGGCATCTCTCTCCTCTACATTCCTCCCTCCTTCTCGGCGCACATCGTCCACATTTCGTGGCCTCGAGCTTCCGTGCTCATGTTTCGGTTTCGGCTTTGAGCGGTTGAGACGTTTTGGCTTTATTAGAAATATACGTGACTAGCAAAATATTGATCGGGTGGTCTCTTGACACCATATTAAGTCGACGTGCAAACAATTAAAACAATCTTTGTTTGGAGCGGGGGGGGGGGGGGGGGGGGGAGGGGGGGCGTCGGAGTATCTTTAAGTTCCCCTTCTATAATTGTCTCACTTTATCTCCCTTTGCATGTATTTAGGATAAGGAAACTAGCCGAGATAGCACGCCCATGAAGCTGAATATTTGGCTGGGACCGGGGGGGACTACGGCGCTTCTGGTCAAAAGATCCAACGAGTCAAAAGGTCCAATAATGGATCTTTTGACTCGTTGGATTTTTTGACTCGCCAGACACGAGTCAAAAGATCCAATGTGGGTGAAGAGGCCCAACGAGCCAAGAGATCCAACGAATCAAAAGATCCACGGCGAGTCAAGAGGTCCAACGAGTCAAAAGGTCCAACGAGTCAGAAGGTCTAATAATGCATATTTTGACGCGTTGGAACTCTTAACTCGGCAGACACGAGTCAAGAGATCTGTTGTAGATCAAGAGCTCCAATTACTGTAGAAATGCCGCTTCATATTGCGAAGGAGTCACGGAAAGTACCTCACTACTCTTCCCCTCGTCGCGGGGAGGCGTTTTACAATAAAGATCAGTAAACGAATTTTGACTAGGTACCTTAGTTTTTGTTTTAAAAAAAAAGGTGAAACAGATTTAAGTTTGATGCGCCACTCAACTACGCACCGTTTTCCGGTTTGCGGCCGGAAAACCGTCTCGAGGGGGCACCCGGAGATAATCAGTCTCGTGGATTCCGAGTCAAGAGGTCCAACGCGTCAAGAGGTCTAACGAGTCAAGAGGTCCAATATTGAACCTCCTGACGCGTTGAACCTCTTGATGCGTTGGACCTCTTGACTCGCCGTGGATCTTTTGACTCATTGGACCTCTTGACGCGTTGGACCTCTTGACCCATATTGGATCTCTTGACTCGTGCCTCGCTTTGTCAAGAGGTCCAACGCGTCAAGAGGTCCAATAGTGAATATTTTGACTCGTTTCACCTCTTGGTGTGATATTCGTACAGGCAAGAAAAGTAAATAAAGCACAAGCAATAAAAAACTTACGAGGGCATTTTTTTATGATGTGAGAATGCGTAAGCATTACCTTTGCCAGAGTTATGTTGCCGGAACGGATAGTGCGCTAGTTTCACGATCAAAAGGGCCTAGGTTCGAAACCAGGGAGGGGATGGTTTCGCGCTCACTTAACCAGAGAGATTACGTGACCAGATATATTTTTTTTTTAATTTCAGGTTGCTCACGTGACGAGAGAGGTCACATGACCACAAATATTTTTATTTTTGGGGGGAAGGGTTTGGTTACGTGACCAGATAAGTCACGTGACCAGAGATATCACGTGACCAAATAGGTCACGTAAACAGATTTTTTTTATTGTGTTGGATTATGTTGGACAGCTCACGGATTTTGACGACAGATTTTGCCGACGGCTTTTTCGCTGACTGAGCCAGGTAATGCTAACACATTAAAAAAAAAACATACAACAGAAGGAGGTGGAGAAACCAAATGTCGGAAAAAAAGCAAAAAGCTAAGCAGTGAGGACTTCCACACGGCAGGGAGGATCTCACGAACACGGCATTGATAAATCGTTTCAGGCCGGTGATGTAATCACTGTTCGTGTCTATGACCCGCAATTTGCTTGGTTTTTGTAGTGACAGATAAGGGCGAGCTGGGCTGTGGAGGTCGCATGCTAGGCACTGGATTTGTAAACACCGGAAATCATTGTTGTTATAAACTGCCAAGCTTATAGCAACATTGGTTTGTTGAGGACCTGCAGCCCTGCAGGGCTGTGTTCCTTCTAACCCTGACCACAAATTGGTAAATCTACATCTCCCGTGTTTCTCTCCCCCACGAATATCAAGCAGGTAAAAGGAAAGGTCTTAACATTCTACGGTTTGTGGTGGAGTTTTTGTTTAGGCAGTGACTACTTCGAGCGCTTCGTGTTGTCTTACTCTGTCTCTGCCTCGCGGCGCCTTCTGTAAAAAAAAAAAAAAAAAAATTGACACCTGGGTTCAAAATAATTGTAAAAGTATTTTGGACACATCTTTCGTCACATATGGAAGATATGTTTATAGCGATGTGCTATTTCGACGTCTACCATCACACTAAAGTACTATTCCGGCGTCATTCTTAAAAGTTTTATTAATTGTTTTAATTTGTTTAACGTCTTGTCAAAATAGCTTCCTTGATATTTAGAAGTCATTGGTCTTCGAAGGGCTTGAAAATACAGTTTGGCCTGGCGCAGCATGGCGTGTAAAGTTAGCCATTTCTCCGTTCACCGTGGCCTAGCACTTGACACACTAGATCTATCGGCTTCAGAGATCAACGCGCTTTCCGAAACGAACATTTCTTCAATCGACTTCGATCTCTATAATTCAATTTTCTAAAAATTATTGAGCAACTAACCCACCATCTTCCAATTCCAACTGACTAACACATCGCGTAATTTTGACTTAAAATAAATTATATCGACAGACAAGTGTTCGGTAATTCGTGTCAAGAGTGCTCAATCATGAAACGTTCCGTTTTATGGTTCATTTCACAGCATTCGCGAAAATTAAGGGCAGCAAGGGAGTTACATATCGCTAGAATAAGTATTTGTGGCTGCTCCGTGCTTTTGAGGAAGTCAACGGTCCAGAATAACCCGCTAGCTTGCCCCGATCATAAAGTTTCAAGGAAACAATGCTCGCATTCATTTGCAGCACTCTATTTGACGCTAAGTGGCGTAATTTGGTCTCGTTCAAAGACGCCCTCCAATGATTATGGAGCTCCTTTCCACGATCTGTTATTTACCTCTTTAGTGATTCGGTGAATATAGTGAATAGAAACTACAGCATAAAATAGTAGCGCATCATATTTTTAATAGGAGATACGAGAACCCAGGACTAAACAAAGTCACAAACAAGTATTTGCGATTACAAATACTGAGATACAAGAAAAGGGAAGGCTAAACGCGATATGGCTGAGGTGCATTTGTATTTAATATATCGGGAATTTTAGAGACACTTCCATAGAAAAGGCCTAAATGTGTCTGAGAGCAGAGTCTGGAACACAGATACTAAGCTCTACAAGTCCAAAATATGTCGCCAGGCACTATCCATTATTTAACACACAAATATCATATACCGGGTGCTTTTTTCTTAAACTTAGCAGATTTGTATAAAGAAAGTCGTGAAAGTTACACTTATGCGGTTTGTGCCGATAAGTTGCACGGTCAAGGGGACAGAGTATAGGGTGCTAATCGTAACGATCATTCGGCTAGTTAATTAAAATTTGTTAACTCTTCAATTAATAAAAATATAAATATGGTTCCAGTTGGACACTTGCTCAGCGTCATTGAAAAACATTAAATGAACACTTTTAACCCTTTTTAGAAGGATATGACGCAGGGGCAGCATTTTACGGCGTTCTAAAAAAGCGCTCAATTTGGACGTGTTTCTAAGTTTTCCTTTCTTATCGGAGCGCATCATTGCGTTCGCGGTCCTGCTCCTCGGTGGCCGCGGCGCGAAGCCACCCCCTCGCCTCCCACGTAGCATGGAGGGAAGTTGGGCGCAGGTGTTTTGCCCGTCTCAGCCACTGGGGAGCAGGACCGCGGGCGCAGAGATGCGCTCCGGTAAGAAATCGAAATCTAGAAACGCGTCCAAATTTAGAGCTTTTACGGAATGCCGTAATGTACTGCCCCTGCGTTATATCCTTCTATAGTCCATTGCAACTCAAGAAGGTAGGGCGAGGGTAAGACGGGCCGGGGAAGAGAAAGTAGACGGAACGCTGAAGGAGAAAGGAGGAAACCTCCGCTCCTTGGCGTTCCGTCTGCTTCCTTCTCCCCAGCCAGTCTTACCCTCGCCCTACCTTCTTGAGTTACTAAGGACTATAAAAGGA